CATCTCTGGTATAATTGACAAATCGTTGCTGGTTATAGTAGATATAATTGATCTAGTTAACATTCTTGTTAGCGGTGATGAGTGGGATCAAGGATTCGAATCCTGCCGACACCTCATCTCTGGCCTTGAATTCATTTGGTACCCCCCTTGGTACTCCAATGGCATCGATATATATACGTGTGGGTCGAAACTACCTCGAATGGGGGTTTCTCTTTTTACTCTAAGATACGTGTGTGGTGAATCGTATGGGCCTTGGTGATTATCAGAAATTATGTGTATGGGCATAATAAGTTTGGTGAGAGCACACTCTCTCCATCACAGGCCAGTCATTTCTGATCTGAGCTGCATGTCACCACATAGCCAATAAATGTCTCCCACGGACTTAACTTGATTTACTAATAGGGCAGTGGGAGGTTCTCGATAAGTGGCACAGTAGCCAGAAGGGAATTTACCTACAAATTTACCTGTAGCTCCATGTATTGTGTAGTTACCTGGGTACACAGTGATTCCATCAGGTGGCCTGGTACTCCCTTGGGTTAGTGGGTAAACCTTTTTCCATGATTCACACACTGATGAATTTACTTTTGACTGTGCATAAAGGCTTAAGAAACACATTTCAACATCTGGAGGTAAGGATTTCCCATTTATATCAACTCTATCTAAGGCTTTTTGTGGTCTGTAGCCCCATGGTCGACCCGTATTCCAACCCGCTGCTACAGTGATGTCCCTAATGCCCACCCATCACACAAATATATGGGTCCTTTTTGTTTGTTATGTCTTTGTATATTGCTGAGTGTTGTGACGGTGGAAAGGTACAAGGAAAAATATCACAGTAATCAAAGGTAAAAGTAGCTACATGTGTGTTTGAAAAGTTATACCAGAATGTATAAACATGATTATCTTTGGTAATAGCAACTTGTTGGGCCTTTAAAAGGCCTAGCAGCAGACATAGGCACAGGAAACTCATGATTTGGCAGGATCTGCTTCCTCTGGATCAGGGACTTTCTTGCAGTGCGAGGCGTATATCCAGGTATTCTTCCCAGCCAACTTTACAGAGGTAGATGTAGTCAATAGGACCTGGAATGGACCATCGAACCTTGGCTCAAGAGTGTGTTTTCTTAGGAACTTCTTGACCATGACCCAGTCACCAGGAAGTAACTTATGTGTGCCCGTATCTGTCTCGGGATCTGGAATAGAAGAAAACACCTGTGCATGGATTTTGGTCAAGGCATGAGAGAGTGCAGTTATATAATCTACCATTGCGTCTGACTGAATTTGAAGTTGCTGAGGAAAATAACAGCCTAACCTGGGTGTTGTTCCAAACAAGATTTTATAGGGGGACAGGTTGAACTTCCCTCTTGGGGTGTACCTTACACTGAACAATGCTATGGGAAGACTCTCTGGCCAGGGTAGGTTAGTTTCTTGGGACATTTTAAGCATTCTGGCTTTCAGAGTGCCATTCAGGCGTTCTACCTTATCACTACTCTGTGGGTGATAAGGTGTGTGGAATGCAAGGGTCACCCCCAGTGCTGCCCAGATCTCTTTGGTTAGCACCGCGGTGAAGGATTTACCCTGGTCACTTTCAATTACTTAAGGGACTCCGTATCTGCAGATGATTTCGGTGAGTAGACGCTTTGCTGTGGTTTTCGCAGTGAGATTAGCGACTGGGAAAGCTTCTGGCCATCCTGAAAACATATCCACTATGACCAGTACGTATTCGTACCGGCCACTCTTTGGCATTTGGATATGGTCAATTTGGATCCTCTGGAAAGGGTACTGTGGTTTGGCCAAATGGTTTGGTGCATCTTTGATTATTTTCCCTGGATTACATTTAGCGCAGATGGTGCAGGATCTGCAGTAATTTCGTGTCAAGGTAGTGATTCTGGTTGCTTCAAAATATTTATCAATCAAAGAGTTCATGAGGTGCTTAGATAAGTGAGCTGGTCCATGGGCCCACTGAACAACAGCTGGATACATATTGCTCGGTAGACAGAATTTGAGATTGATTGATTGTGTATACTTCATTCTGAAGGGTTGCTCCTTTGTCTTTCCAGCTTTGTTTTTCTTGAGGGGTAGCGGTGGCCTGTTGTTCTCTTAGGAGCTTGATCGGTGGGTAGGGTTTGCATAGTGTAAATGGGAGTCTTTTCGACGGACACTGTTCTGTCCACTTCCCGACACTGGCGCGCCGCACCCATAGCGGCCTGGTCGGCTAAATGATTGCCCTGTGCTTCTTCTGAGTTTAGTTTCCCGTGGGCCTTTACCTTCAGTATGACCACCTCTTCTGGAAATAGTAAGGCATCCATTAAATCTTTGATAGCTGCTCCATGTTTCACAGGAGTACCTGTTGCTGTAAGGAACCCCCTGGTTTTCCAGATTAGGCCAAAGTCATGTGCCACGCCTAGGGCATACCTTGAGTCTGTATAAATATTGACACGCTTCCCTTCAGACATCTTGCATGCCACCGTAAGGGCTATTAGTTCGGCTTCTTGTGCTGACTTAGATGAGGGGAGTGAGGATGCTTAGAGTATTTGGTCCTCTGTGGTGACTGCATATCCAGTATGATATTGTCCCTGCTCATCTGCAAATATAGAACCATCCACAAACAGAGTGTAGTCAGGGTCCGGTAGAGCAGCCTCGTGCACTGTTGGGAGATGGGTTGTTTCCATTTTCATCTGTTCAAAACAATCATGGGGGGCGTCTGGGTCCTGTTCTGTAGGAGGGATGTCCTCACATATCTCTGTGTGATATCGAGGGTAACCAACAGTTTTGCAATTTACGGTCCTCTTATTGACCCCCGTCACTGAAAGTTGTTCTTGAGTTGCAGTACTCCGTGTTTTGGCCATGGGGCCGAGTTCTTTCCATGAGCGATCTGGAGACTTGGTGAAAGAGACATGAAGAACAGCCACCTCCCGATGGTGATATAAATGTGATACCTCCATAGGCTGGTAGACTAGGATAACAATGTTTCCTTTGGAGTCACAGAACAGGTCTGTCAGTGTGACGTGTATTTCCACCAGGCTGAATAATTCTTTTTCATAGTATGTGTCAGGACCTGGGGTGTCCTTGAACCACAGGGTGCAATGTAAGTGGCTCTCGGGCTGTTCATCATGTGGAACTGTGGGCTTTTCTACTTGAAGTTCCATGTGAACATCAGGATTTATGTCCAGGCTGTACCAGTATTGTGGCACTCCCCCTTGGGAAGTGGCAGAAGAGTGGCTGGATTCAAGAAATAACATCTTTGTAGGGTAACGTGGAGAGAGGAGAGAGGTTTGAAGTCGGAGATGTCTCTGGGATGAGAGATGCTTGGGCTGGACTTCATTCAGTATTGCAGCGATATCATGGGGAGCAAGAACCGTCAGTTTATGTCCGAGAACAAAGTCATTAGTCTTGTCCAGTAGGGCACTTGCAGCAAAAACAGCATGCAAACATGAAGGACCACCCCTGGCCACGGGGTCAAGCATGCAGGAAAAGTACCCAACAGGGCGCTGACGGGAACCGTGGGATTGAGTAAGGACCCCTGAAGCATGGCTCATCTTCTCTGAGACGTAGAGTTTGAATGGTAGCTGGTAGTTAGGGAGGCCCAAAGCAATGGCAGAAGAGATGGCTCTTTGAAGAGCATGGTAACAGGTGAGGGCTGTAGAGGACAATGAAAAAGGTTCAGTCTTCAAAGCATCGTAGAGAGGTTGCATGAGTTGAGAAGCCTCAGGGATCCAAGATCTGCAGTATGTGATGAGGCCTAAGAAGGCATGAAGAGCTTGATGGTTAGATGGAAGGGAGAGATTTGTAATGGCAAGTATTCTGTTTTTCATTAGGTGAGGGGGGCCATGGGAAAGGCAATGTCCCAAAAAGACCACAGAGGGCCGGCACAACGGGAGTTTCGTCTTGGAGGCTTTACAACCTTCTTCAGCGAGGAAACAAAGGAGATCTTCGGAATTCTGTTCAGCAGTTTGAAAATCATCTGCACAGAGAAGTAAATCATCGACATACTGGAGCAGGACCACATCTGGGTGGGATTTCTGCCAGGGCTCTAGGACAGCTGACATAGCTTTGGCGAACTGGGTTGGGGAATTTTGAGGCATAACAGTCCAAGTATACTGTTGACGAACATGTGTGAAAGCAAACAGATATTGACAAGAGGTGTCCAAGGGCACGCTGAAAAAGGCATTTGCAAGATCAACTACCGTGAAGTATTTAGCTGCTGGAGGAACTTGTGACAACAGTGTATGTGGATTAGGGACAACAGCAGTATCATGAGTTGTGACGTCATTAACAGCGCGGAGGTCTTGAACCATACGGTATTGGTCAGGTTGGCCTTTTTCAGTTTTCTTCTTTACTGGAAATAGAGGGGTGTTACGCTGTAATACACACTTCACCAGTGCTCCTTTTGTCAGCAGGCTATCAAATTGTTTGGAAATGACGAGGGCTTGTGCAGGTTTCAATGGATACTGTGGTCTTCGTGGTGGACTAGCTCCCTTGATTAATCTAACGACCACAGGTGGGACTCGTAGGCGTCCGATGTAATCTGGGCCTGTGGACCAAAGCTTAGTTGGAACCCTATCCAGGGCACTGGGGGCTTCTGGGGCCCTTGCCTCCTCGGTGGGGGATGTCACGTAGAGTAGTAGTAGGGGCAAAGAGCAAAGGACAGAAGTATCTTTGCGAGAAAGGGGGGTTAGTAATTGAACCTGGCCATCAGCAGTAAAGGAGATAGAAGCTTGAAGACGAGACAGAACATCTGCTCCTAAAAGGTGAATTGGACAGGTGGATGAAACAACGAACCGAGAGAGAATGCAAGAGCTTAGTCAGCGGGTTATTTCTGGGGGTACCATCGACACCTACACAAGAAACATCTGTGTCAGATAGGAAAGATGGGTCAGGCAGGTCTTGTTCTCTGAGAACACTGCGTGCTGCACCTGTGTAAACTAAAAAGGTAGTTGGATGACCCTCAACTGGAAGAACAACTGTAGCTAGGGGTCCCCCCTTGTCCCCTTTCATAACAGGAGTATTAGACACAGGTTTGCCGGTTACCTATTGTACAAGGTCTAGATGAGAATGATCAGGGCCAGTGTAATGACGTGTAGGTTTGGTGGAGTGGCTGGCCTGATGGGTCTGACGTGTAGGGCGATAGTGACTCGGTGCTGGGTGTTCATCTTGTTGGAAAGCATGCCCCTGGCTGAGGTCTAGGTGCCATATGTTGTCCCTGCGCAGCTGGCAGGGTGGGTAGCGTGGGATAACCTGGAGGCACCTGGGCGTGTCTGGTGGTAGGGCTGTAAACGGAAAACATAAGAGGATTACCTTTCCTTTGGGGCGGCTGTACAGCAGATTCCAGGTCCTTGGCAACTAGTAAGAGAGTGTCCAAAGGAATAATTCTGTATTCAGGGCGAGAGAGCACTAAGCCTTTCCTGATGGCTTCTTTAAAGCCAGCAACAAAGGCAGCATATAACATCTGGGTATGTGCTTTATTATATACACTGAATCCGAGATTGGAGGTTTGAGTCAACAGTGAATGGTATTTTTCCACAGATTCAAGTTTGTCTTGTATAATGTCATTTATACAAGTGGCTTGGTCAGCTAGTTTATCCTGGGCCCAGGCCCGAAGCTGTTCACAGAATGTAATACCTGACTGGTAATCCATATTGGTAGTGAGTAGAGCGTCATTAAAACTTCTTTCCATAATGGGCCAATAGGCATCCCCAGCCTTGATCTCACACAAACTATACAGATCATGCCAGGCTTCTGAGTATGTCTTACGAATCTGGGCAATCCTCCGAAAGAAGGGCATGGGCTGCTTCTCATTGTCGGGGAGAGAGGTTACTAGGGTAGCAGCTTGGGATGGGTTGAACGTGACATACATCGGGGAGCCCCGTCCACTAGTGGTAAAGCAGGGGTTACTTGTCTCTGGGAAACCCTATTATTTGAAGGGCAGAATGGGCTAATCCCTTGCACATTGTCATCCTTGGGGGGAACCGAGAATGGGAGACCATGGTAGCTAGCAACATCTGGTGAATTAGGGGCTTGAGCATCGGAGCTGGGAGTACTGACAGCGATGGCCTCGGGAGTAACTGTTACGGCTCCCCTGGTCTGCGAGGGGTTACAGCCGTATGAGACGTTCCCTTAACGAATGCAGAGGCAGCCACTGAGTGCTACAAAGCACCGAACAGTAGCCGTACGGATGAAGTAGTTTCCCAAGTAACCGAACAGTAGATATACGAACACACTATTTCTCCCAAACAGCCGAACAGCCACCATGCGAATCAAATATTCCTCCAAACAGCGGAACACGCTTACTCCATACGAATAATGCCCCCAAAGACGAGACACAGCTCCGTACTGAGGGTTAGCAGGAATCTGTTTAATGAGGGCTACATGCCCGGCTTTTATGCAAGTCCCCCACCTGGTGGACACTCCCCTAGGGGACCCAATGGGGGACTGTGACAAGCACAATGTATTAACCAATCACAGGAGACTTAATAAGCCATTCCTCTTTTCTTGCCCAGAACCCCCTGCTCTGCCCGGGAAGATAATTGTGAAGTAATTCAATTATCTCCCAGGACAGAGCCTAAACGCCATTTTGAGGACTAATAACAAAAATACATAAAATTACATAACTGTTGCATTTTACACGATTTTATAGGCATTCCACAGGTCCCCAGATAGCTAGGATCTGAGCGCACCAAAGTACCAAATAGCGCTCAGATCCTATACACACAGTCCAATCGCCGTGGAGCCAGTGTTCACACAGTCCGTTTTCAAGAATGGGCTCTACGGGATTCCTATCTGGGGTACGGTGTATTCCGTTTAAATCCACCGAATATAGGGTCATTCGTGCCAATCTACCGAACAAGAAGGGAGCTCGGCGGCTTCAGCGGTGTTCGTGCCAAAAAGTGTCCGTTTTTAGTTCCATGAGTTACGCGTCGAACACCGCTGTGCGTTCGTGTTTTTTAAAATGGCCCCGACCTCGTGTTCGGCATTCGAATGGCGGCCACCCAACTGCTGTATCAATTACGAGGTGTCTACGGTTAATCCTCAACGTTCGAATGAGGCCAAGAGGTTAATCAGCAGCACACTCCTCTACTGGGTGGCTGGCCGTTCGGTAGTTTTGTTCGGTCATAAACAGGGGAATGCCATAGAGTCCACAGGAACGAGAAAAATGAATTAAATAAGTGAACAAGCAATACGGTTGATTCAGTCCAGGACAGAGGGATCTGTCACAGTAACTAACTGGGAGGTAGCGGGATGGAAGCCTGACGTGGCAGGGGAAGCACCTACAGCAGGGGGCTGTCCCAAAACGGTAGATTCATTCGACCCAACAATTGATGATTGGGTAACTGTGAGTAGCCATGGGAGAGGCAGGAACAGGAGCCGGACTGGGTGAGGGGGTGGGCTGAGTAGGCTGAGGGAGATAAGTGTAGAGGAGTGACGAAAAGTCGAAGGAGGGAGGGGCAGCAGGATTGGAGGCGGGAAGAGGAGAGAAATCTGGAACGGGGACAGAAGGGGTGGCGGGGAGAGGAGAGGAATCAGCAGGAGTAGAGGGAATAGCAAGAGAATTTGAAAGAGTGGAAATGAGTGACGATAAATCGGGGGAGGGAGGGACTACAGGAGGTGAGGCGGGAAGAGGAGAGGAATCTGGAACAGGGACAGACGGGGTGGCGGGGAGAGGAAGGAGCAGGAGTAGAGGGAATAGCAAGAGGGGGGATATGGCAGAGAGAGATGCGACAGGGGGAACAACGGGTGAAGGCGAGAGGGGAACGGGAGTAGAGGGAACGACAGGGAGAGGAACTAGAGGGGCATCAGGGGAGGCAACACGTAAAGGTGGGAGGGGAGCAGGAACAGGAGGGATGACAGGGGGAGATGGGAGAGGGGTGATGTCGGGAGAAGTGATGGAGGGAGGTAGCTGAGGGACGGCATCAGTGGTGACAAGAGGGGCAGGATTAGAGGGAGACCGAAGTAATGGGTAGTGTGGAGGTAGGTGAGAGAGATACGGGATAATAATAGGATCCATCCGCCCCGAGAGCGGGGTACAGAGGGGTTGGGACAGGAGGGCCTATCACAAATGGAGGTGGCGACTGGGCGGTGACGGGGGAGGCAGGGCGAGATTCATTCACGGTATTCTGGGTTCCATCATAGGGCGGTGGCCAGGGAACATCAGGGTTCGTTTCATCATTACAAACATTTCTGTAATATACATAAATCGTTTGTCCTTCAAAATCCATTTCTTCCTCTGACCAATCCTCCCGCTTGAGTCCTCTTGGTACCCGATACCAAGCCTCCAAGGCTTTCGTCAACCCGTTATCCAAAAGCAAGCCCTCTTCATCAATGAGTAATTTCCTCCAAAACTCTGGCTGCAATCTACCACTGGGTGACATTTGAAAACCACAAATCTTTTCTATCTTCTTTATCTTTAACATAGCCTCTTCTCCTGCTCTCTCCTTAACAATATCACAAGTTAAATAGCCTTTAGAGGGTCTGGTATGTTCTTGTTCCATTTTTAACCAAACAAAGCTTTCCCTGTAAGAGGGAGAGTGAGAGGGAGAGTGAGAGAGAGAGTGAAAAACGGAATGTCTACAGTGCTCGACTGCCACGAGGAATTGATTCCCGTCTGACTTCCCTAAACGCAGACTAGTCACAGGATCCGCCCACCCGAGATGGTGGCCACGGATCTGAGCGGGCGAGGGTGGGTGACTAACACAGCTCTGGGCAACAAGTATAGGAGAGGTAGAAGATAAGGGAAAAGGTGAACGTGGAGAGACTAATCAGAAGACATTTACATGAGTCACAGATATAGAGATGTGCACATAATCCGGAATCAAGGACAACCCACACAACACACACACACACACAACTATGGTACCCACACTATGACAACAACTGAATAGAAAACATAGTATAACAAGGAACAGTAAAACTACGAACATAATAATAACTAAACAGTAAATTAACCCTGTTCAACTCTGAACAATTCCCAACCTTTCTCTAGGCGGATGCGTTTCCTGCCCGCTAGGCAGTTAAGCTATGAAATCCCCAGCCTTTCTCTAGGCGGATGCGTTCCCTGTCCGCTAGGCAGTCAAGCTATAAAATCCCCAGCCTATCTCTAGGCGGTCCCCAGCCCTTCACCGGGCGGATAAAATTCCCAACCTTTTCTCTAGGCGGCTCCCAGCCCTTTACTGGGCGGACAAAATTCCCAGCCATTTACCGGGCGGCTGCGTTCCCTGCCCGCTAGGCAGTCAAGCTATAATAATAATAAAAAAAAGCATAAACCACACACCAGCCGTCTCACACGCATACATACAGTCAAGAGGCAGATAGGCAATTGACAGGTTTGTTTCAAAAAGGCACCAGATAAGAGATTACCTGTCTTGTAGCCTTCTGGAAGCCGGAAGTGGACACGGAGACAGACCGACACAAAACAGGAAAATACAGGCAAACCGCCGTATTAGTAGGTAATCAGGCTCCGGTTGTCCCACTTTCCAGAGGTCTGCTCCTGTCCCGTTTTCCGGCCGTCCGAACCGGTGAGAACCAGTGCCCCACGTTGGGCACCAAATGATGTGGAATCAATCAATAAATTGATTATCTTGCGTATCTGCCCCGGCCAAATTAAAGAAGTAATGCGTGCACGCTCCTAAAGTAATTCACACCAGACACATGTTTCGGGTTAATGAAAAACTTGAGGAATGTTTATTCTGAGGGGACGGCATGTCCCTTATAAAGCAAAATTACATCATATGCATTGTCAGAGATAACACGAAATAATACATCAATAATTGGTTAGGTGTTAAGTGTTCATTAAGTGCTCTTCCTACCGGGTGTGATGTCACTGGTATCTTGAAGGTCTCTCCCAGATTCCAGCGCCATCTTGTTAATGAGGGTGTTAGTCGATGTCAAAAAGGAAACTCCCTAGCAGCCATTTTAGGTAAATGACATAGAAAGTTGAATAATGCTGATTGCAGTTATGCTGAGTAAATAGGCATTTTACTAACATGAATTGGGTTAATATTTTTGTCCAAACAACACTCCCACACTCGCACCCCTAAAAGTATAGTGTACCACTTTGTCCATTTGAAATGTTGGTTGGCATGGACTGTGTCTGCTGTATAGTATAACCGCACACTAAAGTGAGAATTCAAAGTGAATTTCAAATTTATAACCAAAATTTGGTAAACTGGAAAAGTTATCTTAAATCAGCTATGTTTCAAATTCAGCCTTAAATCTGAAATTCACTTTGAATTCTCACTTTGTAACTTTGTGAGTGTTTAATACTACAGGGAGTGCAGAATTATTAGGCAAGTTGTATTTTTGAGGATTAATTTTATTATTGAACAACAACCATGTTCTCAATGAACCCAAAAAACTCATTAATATCAAAGCTGAATATTTTTGGAAGTAGTTTTTAGTTTGTTTTTAGTTATAGCTATGTTAGGGGGATATCTGTGTGTGCAGGTGACTATTACTGTGCATAATTATTAGGCAACTTAACAAAAAACAAATATATACCCATTTCAATTATTTATTATTACCAGTGAAACCAATATAACATCTCAACATTCACAAATATACATTTCTGACATTCAAAAACAAACAAAAACAAATCAGTGACCAATATAGCCACCTTTCTTTGCAAGGACACTCAAAAGCCTGCCATCCATGGATTCTGTCAGTGTTTTGATCTGTTCACCATCAACATTGCGTGCAGCAGCAACCACAGCCTCCCAGACACTGTTCAGAGAGGTGTACTGTTTTCCCTCCTTGTAAATCTCACATTTGATGATGGACCACAGGTTCTCAATGGGGTTCAAATCAGGTGAACAAGGAGGCCATGTCATTAGATTTTCTTCTTTTATACCCTTTCTTGCCAGCCACGCTGTGGAGTACTTGGACGCGTGTGATGGAGCATTGTCCTGCATGAAAATCATGTTTTTCTAGAAGGATGCAGACTTCTTCCTGTACCACTGCTTGAAGAAGGTGTCTTCCAGGAACTGGCAGTAGGACTGGGAGTTGAGCTTGACTCCATCCTCAACCCGAAAAGGCCCCACAAGCTCATCTTTGATGATACCAGCCCAAACCAGTACTCCACCTCCACCTTGCTGGCGTCTGAGTCGGACTGGAGCTCTCTGCCCTTTACCAATCCAGCCACGGGCCCATCCATCTGGCCCATCAAGACTCACTCTCATTTCATCAGTCCATAAAACCTTAGAAAAATCAGTCTTGAGATATTTCTTGGCCCAGTCTTGACGTTTCAGCTTGTGTGTCTTGTTCAGTGGTGGTCGTCTTTCAGCCTTTCTTACCTTGGCCATGTCTCTGAGTATTGCACACCTTGTGCTTTTGGGCACTCCAGTGATGTTGCAGCTCTGAAATATGGCCAAACTGGTGGCAAGTGGCATCGTGGCAGCTGCACGCTTGACTTTTCTCAGTTCATGGGCAGTTATTTTGCGCCTTGGTTTTTCCACACGCTTCTTGCGACCCTGTTGACTATTTTGAATGAAACGCTTGATTGTTCGATGATCACGCTTCAGAAGCTTTGCAATTTTAAGAGTGCTGCATCCCTCTGCAAGATATCTCACTATTTTTGACTTTTCTGAGCCTGTCAAGTCCTTCTTTTGACCCATTTTGCCAAAGGAAAGGAAGTTGCCTAATAATTATGCACACCTGATATAGGGTGTTGATGTCATTAGACCACACCCCTTCTCATTACAGAGATGCACATCACCTAATATGCTTAATTGGTAGTAGGCTTTCGAGCCTATACAGCTTGGAGTAAGACAACATGCATAAAGAGGATGATGTGGTCAAAATACTCATTTGCCTAATAATTCTGCACTCCCTGTATATGCAGAGGGAGAGGTGAAGCTTTGCATTCAATATAGAGAAAGATTTTAACCCCTTAAGGACCAAACTTAAATAAATAAAAGGGAATCATGACATGTCATGTGTCCTTAAGGGGTTAAAGGAAAACTCCAAGAGCCATAACCACTACATACAGACTGTTGTAGTAATTATGGAAACAGGGGAGCTCTGGAGCTTTCCATGATAAATAGTAAAATTGCATAACTCACGAGTCTTATGTGCTCCTGTTCCGCATCCAGCTTCTCCTGCATGAGTTCTCCTCTGAGCTGTACTCATTGGCTGAGAATGCTCAGCTGATGCGCTCTGCCAATGAGAGTGGCCCTGCACAGCCCTTTTTAACTCAGCGGGCCTTACCGCATGGCTGTAAGGGTATATCTACAAACAGTTTGCAAAAGTTGCATATCTTTTGTCTGAAGCCATTGCAAGCCCTCCTCTTCTAACCCCACCCAGACTTCCTGTGGCTGTCCAATCACAGACTTCCCATTGCAGGTCAATGAAAAGTCTTTGCAAGGCAGGTAGTCTGAGCAATTGCTACCTCGAGTTTAGCTCCACTGAAATAACCAAACCAGGAAGTAACAGAACCTGTTGTCTGCTTGAAAGTTAGGGGATTGTAACCACGTTCATTTATAAAAGTGTCAATTTTATTGAAATCAGCACTTTTTGCAAAATGGAAAAAAAAATGGACATACTCTTTACACATAAAGCTTTTCAGTAAGCCTAAAATGTTAAATTCAAAAGTACATTCCCAACAATATATGGATTAGTGAATAAGCCTGTATGCATATTGACATCTATTTGAAGACAATTTAAACCAAACAGCATCACAATTAAATCAAACAGAAAAAAACATTGAATTGGCCCTAGAGGGTTTATTCAATATTTAGTGAATTCCTGAATCCTGTAGCCACAGCTCTTGTATTATAGCTCAAATTTTGCAATTTGTTTTTCATTGACCACAATTCATGGTTTGGTGAATTAAACCCTTTAATGTATTTCTAAACAGCTACAAAATTAAACAATTTTATCTGCTGATAGTTAACATGAATTTCAAAATGAATAATAAAAAAAAAACAGTGGTACTCCCCTAAATAACTAGGTGGAAGTCAGGATCTGCTTAATCTTCTTTATCCTCTGGTGCAGGTGGCGAGAGGTAAAATGAACAAACGTTGTGGAGCTAGTTGGCCTTTTTTGAAGCTTTTGTAATTTGTGTTTATATACATGAAAAACATAATAAAAATTTGATTTATACAATTCTCTTCCTTGTATTTCTATTTGTACCTCTTGTGCACATTCTTCCTTCCAAGTTTCCTAGTACAATCTTCCCTTTCTGACTTGTCGCTATATTCTGTCCCTGTCCATTTGAGTGTTTTCATCCTTTACTTCTTTTAAAAGGGACACCCTTGTGTTATTATTAAATACATTTATTTATAATGCTGGTGTGTTCTAGAGTTCATTTAGATTTTTGGACTCCCAATACCTTAAAAAAACCTATTTCTTATATCTAGCAACGAGACAGTGTCCTCATCAAAGTTCAGATCCACCCCTGGAAGATCTTCATTAGTGATGACTGTAAACTGAGAAGGGCAATCAACACCCTCTGTTTCAGTGCCTGCAATTTGTCTAGTTGCAAATACGTGCCTGTTAGTACACCTATTGTACAGCGCTTTTGAATTTGCTGGCACTTTGTAAAAAATAATAATAATAGTCTCTTATCCAATACTTCTCATATAGAAACATTGGGAGGCAGGTTACATGTAGAGCAATCAACCCGATCCTCAGGCAATGCTTTTCATATGGAAGCACTGACACCAAGAAGGGGAGGCGGGTTCATGTAGTGCACGGGAACTTTGCACCTTATTTATAACAATGTCGTTTTAATCCATCTGTTGCACTTGCACAATACACATATAGCACATGGACCCATATCACTCTCAGACAGGTTAAGCACTGCTTGTTCAGCCTGCCCTCTTTCTACGTAGGGCTGCTGACCACAGGTGGTGTAGTGATTATCAGCACTGGTGGGATTCATTCTCAGGCCTCCCAACTGTCCTGGTTTCGGAGGGACACTTCCCACTTTTGGGACACCAGGAAACTGTCCATAACAAGCATAGCACTCGTACATCACTAGACATGCTCGCACTATGTTCAGGGCACTGGAACCTTACAGTACTCCCAGCCCTCAGTGTGCTCTGTGCATTCACACCAGGCTGATATGCCAGTAATTCAGGCGGGCCTACCCCATTTAGGCAGAGACAGTGACGCAATCACACCGCATTCTGCTTCTCGGAACTCCTCAGTTGGGAGGTATGCATTCTGCTCTGTGACAAACAGCACAGCATGAGTTAAATTATGCTCAGCTGTGTGATATTGGGATAAAAGTGTAATCTGATGCCTGACTTTCACAGCAGCCCTATACACTATCATTCTGCCAGCGAGCACTGTTTGTCAGTCAGTGTGGCTAGCTGCACTTCTCACTGCTGACAGTTGAGGGTAAAGTTAAAACTCCCTTGCCCAACCCAACTTCCTCTCGCAAATATTGTGATCCCTGCTCATTTGATTTACACAAAGTGCTGTACTGCACTATACAGAATTTAAATGCAGCATTAATCAAGATATATTTTGCTACATATGGGTTATACACATTTTTATGTGCTGCTCATCAGAATCACAAACTCCTGACTGCATATAGTTTTCTGCCCCTTTATATAGTTTTTGTTTCTCTTCCCTTTGTAGTTTGCGCTGATGACGGACGTATTTTATGCACAGAATTGACATTAGCCAGTCTGGGTTCCTGGCTGCCTAACTCACGTTTGCCGTGCATGCTAGAAACTCTGCACATACATACTCATATTACCATAACCACTTCAAATCACAGAAGTGGTAATGGTGGTTGTAGTAACCCATTAAATTAGAAATTTACTTTGAATCCCGGACAATTCATACTTCAGCCAATTATCCTGTATGTGTTTGCATGTTTGATCCAGACTCATGTATTGCATTGTGGGTGTGTGTGACTGCATGTGTGTGATGAGAATTTGGAATTATTTGTGTGATAAGTGTTGTTCTCTGCATTTGTGTGTAAACGTTATAGGCGTGGAGGCTACTTTGTTGTATAAGTGGAGGAACTGTTTTCATGCCTCCTAAAATCAAACTGGTTTCACCACCTCCCTAATTTTTTTTACTACTGGCATGGGGATATGATCCCTGGTGATCCAGTGGGTGGAGTGTTTTGTCTGTATTTCCAGCAGACATTGATGACTGTTCTTACACCTTCTGTCTCTCTAAGACGGCATAAAACAGAGAGCAGACTAGGTAGCTTGACTGGATGGTCTGCTTGTTTCCTGTGAAAATGCAAATGGTTCCAATTGGACTGGCACACCAGGAGAATACTTAATTCAATTTATAATCGAAAACCCAGTGCCAACCCTGGATTTTGACTGATTTTATTTGATTTTACATATAAATCATGCATGCTCATCATCATGAAAGCAATGTGACTTTTTAAAAAATTCTGAAATCCCACTTTAAATCTCCCTAATGTTGCTTTTTAACATAACTCCTTCCCCCACCAATTCTCTTTGCATTTCAGCATACATTGTATGTTGTCTCTATGGCTGCTGCTTCCAGGTTGTTGTTCCTACTGGACCACCGGCACATGCACAATTCATATAATGTTGTCTCTGATGACATCAGTGCCTATTCCCGTGCATATAGTATTATAGCATGGACAAGTTTCTTAAAGCGGGACTGTCACTTCCCAGGAATTTTAATTATCATGTTTACTTAGCCCCTATCTTTAACAATTTTATATTTGTGAGGTGTGAAAAATAAAATTAAATGTAAAAATCCACACCTGCTTATCTTGGAACTGGGTGCCCCATCTTAGCCTTTGGGTAATCATCGTTATAAGCTCTGTCCATCGCATCTGTAACTAAAGAGAAAGCATATAGAGAAGGGTTTTATTTCTCCTCCTCATTTGCAATATTTGCCCTGGCTGTTCCTAGACTGAAAAAATAAATACATGTTTGCATAAGTGATTTTCAATGTTTTTCTCTTTGGTATAATTTCTACTGTTCCCCATTAGTCTGTGTCTATGTACTTATGCACATACGACTCTTTAGTGCAATGACATCAGCAGCAATGTCATTCAGGCAAATGTGCATGCACCAGTGATCCCTCTAAGAGAAACAAAAACAACCGGAAGTAGCAGATGTCTGCAGGGAAAGAGAGAGACATGGATTTGGCAGTTTGAGGATATGCTGCACATCTCAGTTATGTAGGCATACAAGGTTATGCTATGGTATAATTGTGCATCCAAACTGCAAAAATTAAGGAAACAGTAGTTTCATTGTCATTACAATTTGAAGCAATTTGTTTTCTGCTTAAAAAAAATAAATACTGTATATACTGACTTATTCAGCACATTTTTTATGCTGAAAACGCCCTCCCCTCAGCTTATACTCGAGTGAGCAGGGCCAGCACTTCCTTTAAGGCGAACTAGGCAGCCGCCTAGGGCGCCCTGCTCCCTCATCGCCAGCCCTAATGCTGCAGCCGCCTCTCTCTTCACCTCCCCTTCCTTTAGCGTGGCCGAGCTCCTCTCCGGTTCGCGGTACAGGAACATCTGTTTCTTGTACCCGGCTGGACTGATAGGAAGTGCACACTCACCAGGGATCACTTAGTGTGCACTTCCTATCAGTCTGGCTGGGTACAGGAAACAAACTCCTGTACCGCGGACTGGAGAAGAACTCGGCCACGATACAGGGAAGGGGAGGTGAGGAGAACAAACAAGGGGGGTGAGGAGAACAAACAAGGGGGGTGAGGAGAACAAACAAGGGGGATGAGGAGAACACACATGAGGGGGGATGAGGAGAAATACACAAGGTGGGATGAGAGAACACACGGGGTGAGAACACAAGGAGGTGGGAGAGTCCACTGAGGTAGGGGGAGGTGCGGAGGATGTGAGGGGGCGTGGGAGAGTCCACTGAGGGAGAAGGAGGTGAGAGACCACTAAGAGAGGGAGGGGGTGGTTCTTGAAGGTATCTGATCTCTGTGACAGCATGTGCAGGGTTGCAGACATCCATTGTATACTGTTCACATTAGGATTGGAGTGTTCCAGCTATTGCTGCATACATCACAAATAAACAGTCCTGTAATACACATTGATTGGCTTCCAGGCAGTGCAATCACCATGAAGCCTAACCCAAGTCTATGAAAATTTGCTACAAAAATACAATTTGTGTTTAGCTGTATATTTGTTAATGTGTTGTTTTTTTCTAAAGACAGCAGAAAATGGTGATGACAGATCAGTACAAAAAGACTCAAAATACCCCTTGTTTGGCAAATGGAATTCTATGATGGTAGGAATTTGAATTCAGGAATGCTATTTTAACCCATATGTGAGGTGACATTGGCCCAGTAAATCAATCTGTCAACATTACAAGTCTGAACATTCATATGGGCAGGTCTCCGATTTTACCCAATATTTTTCTCTACAAAAATGGCAAACTATAAATCGGGAAGGGGAGATAGCTGTGCTCAGGGGAGAGAGCTGAATGCAATATGTGTGTTTTTTTTCTGTATTTGCACAAATCATGATTAATATATTTAAATATAAAGGTAAATAACTAGACAATTTAGAATAGATTGGTAATAATAGTGTCAGGTACCTGTCAGGCAGAAAATGCTAAGGCGCTCTGCTGCCAATAAAATAAATAAATCATAAGGGGTGTACGTGGTCTGCAACAATCTCTAAGTAGGTGGTACGTGTCAAAGTAACATCTGCATGAATGCCAGGATCCAAAATTTCCCAGCAGAACATTGCACAGAGCATCCAAAATCGCTACACAAAAGTTTATTTGTAGAAAGTACATCCCTCAGGCGATGTAACTCATAGCATTTGACACTTTTCATTTAAACATATTATCACAAACCAAGGTCAATTTAGTTATATTATTTATGGGCTCTTTTTCCACAATTTATTTTGTGTAAATTCACAGACCCACATGTGTCCCACTACTGCAAACACCACATAATTGTATTCTGCTATTGTTCTCGAGTACAATGATACCTCACATGTATACCTTTTCTCCTAATCCTGTCCCTAATATTGTCCCTAATCCAACCCCTCATGCAACCTCTAACCCAGTGAAGGCGAACCTTTTTGAGCCCGAGTGCCCAAACCGTAATACATGCCAATTTTTTTTCCCCTCAAAGTGCCAAAACGGCAATTAAACCTGAATATTGAGGTTTAAGTTTAGAAAAAACAACTCATACAGTTGTCCGAACTAATTAACATCTGTGTGTGTGCTCGGCAGTCTGTCTGTATGTGTATTTAGCAGACTGCTGAATACACACAGACTGCTGAGTACACAGTCTGCTAAATACACACACACACACACACACACACACAGACAGACTGCTGAGTGTACACACACACAGACTGCTAAATACACACACTGCATTGAGGGGTACAGTGTATGTGTTTGTGTGTGCGGTGATGTGTTTGTGTGGTGTGTGTGGGGTGATGTGTGTGTGTTTGTGCGGGGTGATATGTGTAGGGCAGGGGTGCTGTGTGTATGTCGTCCCCTCTCTCCCCCCCCCACTGTTTTCTTTCCCCCCATCGCTCCCTCATTTTTTTTCTCCCATCCCACACTCAGTTTCCCCCCCCATATCTCTCCC